TGGTGCACTGTTACTCTTGTTAATTTGTATACTTTGCTTTTGTTTGAACATATTTCCATACTGAATGAGAATCCAAATTAGTCTAAATCTTGTGTTTTACATTTTATTTTATACATGATGATGTAGCACATAGAGTAGCTCGGTGGACCGGCTTGAGCGGTTAGTTCGGGTACAGTCACTCCAGGGCAGCTTTAGCTTGATTTCTTTAATTTAAAAATGTAAGGTATTAGTTAAATACCTATAAAGATTTATGAAATATTCCTAAGATTTATGAATAAAACCGTTAATTGAATAGAGAATGTCAACAATTATCAACAGTATTCTTAAAAAGCAAGTTTAAACTAGGTAATTAATGTAATTTCTGTTACTGGAGCATTGGAATATCCTAATAAGAACATATTCTTTCACAGTGAAGCTTTTATTTTCTGAAACAGTATTAAAGAGAAAAAAAAAATATTTTAACTCGCCGCATATGTAGGAGCATTATAGTATCATTTTTATGGATATCTTTTTAAATAATCGTATTTAAAAAAAAAAATTCTTTAACATCGTTACGGAAATTATGTTTCAAAATGAGCAAAAAATTCAGTATTGGCAGTAGTTTAAAATTAAATATCAAAATTTCATTAAATACTAAAATTAATATTTTGGTGGGAAATGTTTAAGCCTTTCATCTATTAATAGATGCGATAATATATTTAGCAAGTTACGCATACATTTTTATAAAAGCTGAAATGATTTCCAATTATAACCTAATTTTTTTAGCAGAAAAATCAATACTGAAATAGCAACAATAGAATGTAGATAGTACTATTATACATATGTAGATAAGTGCTTCCTACTAGTTAGGACTACAACAGTGAACAAGTCAAGCTGAGCTTTGGCTGAGAGCTCATAGAGCTGAGCTTTGGCTGAGAGCACATGAGCTCGAGGTTGCACCCAACTCGACTCGTTAAGTAAAGAAGCCAGAAATCAAGCTCAAGCTCACTCGTTTATCTATATTAACAAGCCGATTTCAAACCTTAACGAGCCAATCTCGAGCTTTAACGAGCCAAAGTTATATAAAAATTCTATTTTCGTTAACGAAACGAGCTTCATGCGAGCTTGAGCTCAACAAGCTGCACCCAAGCCAAACAGAGTTCACGAACCGGTCATTTCGCTGAACAACTCTAGTTAGGACATATGAAAATAGTATTGAGTTAAAAGAATAAATACACATACAAAACCCCATATGCCTAAATACATATAAAATCATCAAATATTCACAAGCAAGCAAGTTCCTTTCGAACCTCCTTAGCATGGCCTTTCATCCTACCCAACTCGTACGCCTTAATCATCGTCCGATACGTAACTTTATCGGGCACACATCCTTTCCTCTTCATCATCTCAACCGAACCCTTCATCTCCGCAAAGCAACCCATCATCCCGTATGCATCCACCAAACAGTTAAAAAACACGGTATCCAACATCACATCCGAATTCTCAACAAATCTCAAAGCTGCCCGGATTTTCTCGGCCCGCCCAGCCCGCCCATAGGCCCTCACGAGCGAACACAACGTAACGCAGTTGGGCTTCACCTTCTCAGATTGCATGAGTCGAAACAGATACTCCATCTGCTTCAAGTCTCCGGCCCGTCCAAAGGCGTCGATCACGATGTTGTACGTGACGAGGGTCCACGAGAAGTGGTAGGCCTGCATGTAGTGCATCACGGCACTCATTTTCTTGTAGTTACCGGTTTTGCCGTAGGAGTCGAGGAGGATGTTGAATGTCTGGATCGTGGGGGTGATGCCCGCCAGCTGGAACTTCTCGTAGCACTTCTCCATCATCTCGATCTGGCCGCTGCCGCCAAAGGCTCGGAGGGTGGAGTTCATTGTCCACACGTCCGGCTGGCACTCTCGCTGCCTCAGCATTCGGACGAGCACTGATTCCATCTCTGAAAATCTGCCCGAAAAAAGATACATTTTTTTAAAACAAATCGAATCTCATTGACTGAAAACCATGATTTCGATTTAGCTTACCTCCTTTAGTTATAACTAGGGTTAATAATTTTTTCCATCCTGTACTATATTTGTTTTTGGTATTAAAAAAATATTTTAGGTTGAAAATCCCAAAAACACGTATAGTACAGGTTGGAAAAATTAATTACCCTTATAACTAACCCGACTGAGATTATATTAGTAAAGAGACACACTCACACAAATAGAGAGAGAGAGAGAGAGAGAGAGAGAGAGTTACTTCTTTGCTTTGCCGTACGCATCAATAAGTGTATTATATGTTATCGTGTTGGGATTGACACCCTGCATTTCCATGTCGGCAAGCAGAGATTGTACTTTCCCAAAGTCATGAACTTGTAGGCACGACTTTATGAGGATTGAATACGTATAGACGTCTGGCTGGCAGTTAAGAATCTTTTTCATTTGTTCGAGAATCGAAAATGCCTCATCAAAAAGGCCACTTCGGCTGTAGGCTGACATAAGAGCAGTGTATGCTTCACGGTCCACCACACAACCTTCGTCTGTCATTGCTTGGAATAATATGTGGGCTTTCTCGGGTTGCTTGCATTTTCCGAGCATGACAATTAACTTGATGTATATGCCAGAGTTCGGCTTGTACCAAAGTTGCTCACGAAGAAGTTCGAAAACCTGAAAAATGTTCAGGATCTCAATCTAATGACGTGGGGCAGATATAATCGCAACATAATTTTTTAGCAGATTTTTGTGTGGTGGTTTGCAAATATCACGAGAGCGCATGTATGAGCATTCAGGTTAGATAGAAATAATGATCTTAAATGCATAGAGTTCTTCTATTAACATTATCTGACAAATTTCCCGTTTAGTAATATAGTTTATGCAAAACGGAAAATATGATTACTGCAGAAAATTTCTGTTTGCTTATTTGTGAATTATTTGAAGCTCAAAGTGTAAAAGAAGACCAAATTGCCTGTGGTCGACAAGTAGAAATTTACATTGCCCTGCAACTCTAGAAATGGATGCTATGTACCACAAAAATCTTATCGGTCCCATCAGTCTTTCTAGAGTTTGACATTAAAGAATTGTTATGTACAAGTTCCAGCTTTCAATGTTTCAATATAAATAAATAAATAAAAATAATAACAGCACAGGTTTAAGCTAAAATGTAAAGGTTTCGGGGTCAGGTCCATACCACTGCTTGCTTAGAGTCCTCTCAAACTTCTGTTTTAATTCAATACAGCTTTGTTATATTTGTGGTTAAGAAAAATATAATGTGTAAGATACTACGGCGTACGTGAGATGAGTTTCACATATACAAGGTAGCAACATATTAGTTCAATTACTATTGAATTAGTTAAACAAACATAAGTTGCAACTTGACATTTAACGGTTTTCTATTAAAGAAGATGAGTTGTGCACATAAGGGTGACTTGTTCACCTTTGTAACCACACAAAAATGATAATCTATAAATACTTTTTTTCTTGCGCAAAAAAGTACAAGGCTTGATCAATCCCGAAGCTTATTTCCAACTGTGAGTTTCCTAAAGATTTCCATAGAGTGTTCTGAAGAACTTGTTTGAGCCTTAGTGTTCTTGACATAAATATTGTATTGTAAAAATCGAATCTCATAGAGTGTCTATCTCCATTGTTGGTTATTATTTTTACCAACAATCTTTACAGTCACCACAAACTCTTTCTTAATTCCTAAATCTTACAATTCTCGGATTCTATTACATTATACAGATATTCCAACAAATCAATCCCTAAAGAACACCACTTTTTGCACACCCACATAATCAATCACATTATCGGCAGTGGCTTACATCTCAGCCTCAAATTTACCCAACACTTCAGGAAATCGGAACCAAACTTTAACTGAAATCAAAATCAAAGTACAGGAAAAAGACGAGACCTTAAGAGCAGACTCCCAGCGCAAAGCGGTGATTCGCTCGTGAAGGGCTTCAAGAACAGTTGTGGGCAGAAGCTTTTTCGGATTTCCTTTCTTCTTCTCGATGACAGCTTTTGCTGCCTCTCTTCTAAGAATAATTGAAATGGCCTTCTGCGAAGCTATCTTTCTGTTGGTCTCCTCTTTTCTCTCTCTAGCTTCTTCAACCTCCTTCGCCTGTGTGTTTCTGGTCTGGCCTTTGAATGTTTTCGAGACGGGGCCCGGCCCGCCGCGGGTTCTGACGAGGTGGTTGAGTGGAATCGGATAGGGGCTGCTGGGCCCGGCGACGGACGCCATGATTAAGCTCGGCCGTGATGAATATTTAGGGGGTGTTGGCTTCATACAAATTTGTATTCAAATATCCCATCATTTTTTACTTTTTTTTTTTCAAAAACGACATAATTTATAATTCAACAAAAGAGAAGTACAAATGTTGACCACTAACTAGCCACCGTGTGTTTACAAAATATCTCACTCACCAATTAATCTATACTTAAAATTTAACTCAATTTTAATTTAACTCTACTATTCTTAATATTATTCATATAATTACTCCATGCACCGTATGAATGTATTCAAGTATTGTAAAATTCAAATTAGGCGAGAGTATTTGATCTTGCAAAAACTTTCAAAAATTGTCTTTTAGCGGAAATACATGAGCTCTTAAGAGCATGTTTGTTTATAAATTTTTTTTATTTTGTTTGGATTTTTTGGTTTAGTTTGGTTAATTTTGAAAAAAGTGGTATGGTTAGTTGTTAGTGGGTATATTAAAATAATATTTATAATAAAATTATTAAAATTGATTTGATGTAAAAGTAAGAGAAAGATTTGAAGTGATAGTTAGTTAAAATAATGTGAGTGGATGAATAGTGAATTAAGGTTGATGTGGTGTGTATGAATGATTGATTGATATTATTTAATTATATTGACAATTTTGATGATAGTGGAATTGAGTTATAGTTGAGTTAAAATGTGAGAAATTTTTTGAAAATTTCTTATAAACAAACATGCTGTCATTACGAGCATGTTTGATAAGCATCATAAACGTAGTTATGACATATTTAGTTACCTTATAATTTTTTTGTATTCAAATAAGTTTGATTTGAAAGGACGATTTTTTTTTTTTTAAACTTGAATTTATATTAAGCCCATTAAAATTTTTATTTCATTTTATCAAATTAGTAATTTTCAAGTTTATGGTTTATCAGTAATTTTCAAGCTTATAACTTATGACTTGCTGAAAAACTAGCTTATATGATAAAAGTGTTTGGTAAAATTAATTGATAAGCTAGCTGAAATAAAAATTTCAACAAACTTATTTAATAATCTACCTAAAAACAACTTATTTAAATACACAAAACTTATAAACTAACAAAATAATTTATAAACTAACTTATTTGTCAACAAAACATAACTATAACTATTAACTATAAGCTCTTTATAAACTATCAGCTATCACCTATGTTTACCAAGCATAGCACTATATATTATCGCCCGGCCCATAAGAATAATCGGATCTTGAAGCCAAATGAAAAGATTTTCAATATACCTGCTCGAGCTCTGATTGAAACTCACATGGCATATATTACATCTTCCTTAGTTCCATTACATCCTAAATTCGAATCATTATTAACAGTATAGTGTTCAGATTTTAAGAAGGTTCCGAACAAATGAGCTTCTCAAAATTCAGTTTTTTGTTGTTCTTAGTACTGTTTTCGGCTTCTAAATCGGTAGCGGAAGAGGAGAAAGTAGAAAAACCGAATGAGTTTTTTACGGAGGCGTTGCTGTTGAGACCGCTGCCAGATCGAAAAGTGTTGGCTCATTTCCATTTTCAGAGCAGCGTGCCTCCGGCTCGAGCCTATGGCCGCCACCATTACATCTTCCCCAAATCCATTTATCAGCTGGCGAGTAACTTCTTTAAGTGACTTATTGTATTCAGTCTTAATTGATTGATGGAGACATATTGTTGTGAGGTTCAGTTTGTTAATTATGTTTTTTTTTTTTTTTTNTTTCATCTTTTTGAAACGAATTGTTCATGTTATGGCCTAAATTGGTTGGGATTATGCTGTGATGAATTATTGGGTTTTGCGAACATTTAGACTGTGTGAACGTGTTTATGCTTGAAAAACTCAGTACCGAGAACTGGTGATCCGTGAGTTGTTGATCAATTGTATGACTTGCTTAAAACTTGTAGCATTCAAATATGCTGCTGTCTGCTTGGGGCATCAGTTGGCATGGTTCTTAAAATCTGATTATTAGTTCTTGATAATACATCTTTTATTCGAAATGCTATGTATTCGTACTTACAAGAATATAAGATATATAACAACCGAGTGACTTTTGGTTTCACACCAGTATTTGATAGCTAGTCTTCAAAGTTCTTGAGCAACTGCTTTGAAATTCTTTCTTCCTTTGCTTCATTAATTTAATATGGATCACGTTACATTTCTTTTAAACAATATATTACATGTCAAATTAATAGAATCTTTCTGCTGCTGGTTTCCCTAACTTCAACCAACTCAATACTGGAATCAACTGTCTTATTTGCTGCAATTTTGATTTTCAGGTCAAAAAATTTCAAATTCGAGAGATGGAGCTTTCGTTCACGCAAGGCCGCTGGAACTACGAAAGGTGGGGAGGGTTTGATCCGATCTCAAACAGCAACGCAAAGCCTCCAGGAGTCGAATTGTGGGCTGATTTTGATGTCCCTAAGGATCAAGTAGATATTTCGTGGAAGAACCTCACCCATGCTCTTTCAGGCCTCTTTTGTGCCTCAATCAATTTCTTGGACCACTCAACCAGTTACTCTTCACCTCAGTGGAGCTTCCGTCCCATCTCAGGCAAATTACGTTACGGCACTTTGCCTCGCGAAGCCGTTTGCACTGAAAATCTCACGCCGTGGCTGAAGTTGCTTCCTTGCAGGGACAAGGCTGGGCTTTCTTCACTCATGGACCGGCCTTCCATTTACAAGGGTTATTATCATTCACAAAGGCTGCATTTGAGGTCTAATGAGTTCGATGTGTCTGAGATGAATGCAGGGATAGTGCTCGTGCAAACACTTACAGTTGTCCTTCAACCAAACACAGTTTCGGGAAAAATATCACAGCAGCCGAACTGGTCACTCGGCTCGTTATTCGGCAGGAGAGTTAGTGGAAAATGCTCGCTTTCTGATTCTAGTAATGTGTATGTCCAATTTGACAAGAGTTTAGTGTCCGAAGAACAGGTTTTTCTTTATGAGGTCTCTCAGAAAAACCCTCTGTTTGAACTGTCACTTCCGCCCAAAAGGATTATAAAAGAAATGGGAGATATGCAGAAAGGGGGTTCTGTTCTGTATGAATTTTCGGTTGAATCTGAGCCGTTTGATTTGGGATTAAAGTGGAAGGTGCCTGTTGTTTGGTCATGCGAGCAAGCACCTCTACGGGCTAGTAGGTTTTTATTGGGGAGTGGAAATGAGAGGGGTTCTATAGCCATTTCAATGAAATCCGCTGGGAGGAATAATGTAGAGAGAGGTAGCTCTGACGAGAGAGAATGTTTTCTGAGAGTTGGCATTTTCCAGGTGGTTCCTTGGTATGTGAAAGTGTATTATCACACTCTGGAATTGTTCTTAGATGGGGAACCTCAATCTACTACGGATAACATAGAGAAGATACGTGTTTCACCTTCTGAAGACAAGGTCTCTCCTGGCGTAATGGAAATAGAGTTGAGATTGCCTTGTAGTGTTAAAACTGCTGCATTGACTTTGGAGTTTGACAAGGTATGCTCCAATTATATTCTCGGTTGGTATCTTTTGTAATATATGCATATTAGCCATCGTCTGCTGAAATAAGTAATTTTTCATTTTTTTCTCTAACTATCAAGTTGGTAAGCACCGTAATTTCAATGCTTTTCTTAAATTGATGAGCAAACTATCTTCAGCATTTTGTTTATGCAACCATATTATTAAGCATTACTTTAATTTCTACTTGAAATGGCTCAACATTTTGATTTATGAAATGCAAATATGATATGTAAGGTTTATATCTTAAGATATAGTTTGGTGCCATTTGTTTTTTTCTTTCTCCCCCTTTTTCTTTGACCGAAAGAAACTTGCACTTATTTCTTTACAAACATCAAATGCATCCATCATTACAAGCTCCCTAATCCAATCAGGTAAGTCCTCATTTTCCAGTAAACAGAAACATGGAACAAAGAAACGTAGTTTGCAACTCATTGTGCTACCATATTTGCTGAGCTATGCACATTACAAATTGAAGTGCCTGGATCATTTTATATAAGCCTATTAAACTCTGATGCCCAGGTCTATAATGTAGCCTTTTATTTCTCTATTGTTAGCTACTACTCGAACCACCAATAGCAAATTTGTTGTGGAAAAATCTTTTCTGCTTGCACGAGTTTCGAGTTTTAAAGCTCTTTAAAATGATTTGGTGTTTTTAAACAGGGGTTTCTTCACATAGACGAGTATCCTCCGGATGCCAATCAGGGGTTTGACATTCCATCAGCACTAGTACACTTTTCCGACTTCCAATCAAACATGAGTTTTGTTGATAATTTCTTAAACGAAGTACCCATATTGTCAAATCTACAGGTACTGAGGGAACAAGTGACCCCTATACACCTCCATGATATTTTTTTTATCTTTCATTTTATTATTATTTTATTATTTTTCCCTGTTTAACTGTGTATAAATCATTCATTCATCTACTTCTTAGAAAAGAACTCCGGTCCTCTCGTACACAGAAGTATTGCTCGTACCATTGACAACACCTGATTTTAGCATGCCTTATAACGTTATAACTATCACATGCACCATTTTCGCTCTATATTTTGGATCCCTGCTTAATGCCCTTCGAAGGCGAGCCGGTGAGGAAGAAAGGCGTCTTATGGCAAAGGGTAAGATATCTTGTGGTATTCATTTTCTTTTGACTGACTTAGATATTTACGCCTAATGAATGAAGATCATATTTTAGAACAGAAGCATGCAATTTTTTTAATCTCAGTCACTTGTTCAGTTAGCTGCGATTGGGTTGCATGAATACTATAGGAGGCGTAGGCTAGGGAAAAAGAATATTCATAAATTTTATTCATAGTCTTTATTTATCAACTCATTTTGTGCCTTGGTGGATTCGGCCTTGTTGTTTTTGGACGGTTTTTCATTGTCGATCATATGCCAAAGTTCCAAAGAGAAAAGAACGTTTGAACTTGATTTGGAATATTGAAATAACGCCATTGGAATAGAAGCCAAGTTACAAGGACACTGGCTATAGAAGTTTTTGTGGAAGTATTTGTTTACTCTGACTCTAGATACCAAATTTGTTAAATATGGAAGCTATGCTAAGAAAAAGATTATTTTATTTATAGAATTTATATTTTGAGTTGCTACAACTCTTTTTCTTTTTCTTGCTTCACTAACTTGATCATTTCAACTAACATAGCATCTATCTATACTAAGATAGCATCTATTTATACTAAGACAGTGGATAAATCTAGATACATGAAGTTGAAGAGATAGTCAGATTAAATAATATGTTAAGATGACTTTCAAATGTGCTATTTATTCTATAAGACTCGACTTCTTATTATCCTGCAATGGATCTACCCAAACCCATGATAAAAATTGCAAATTAACCCATAACAACACACGCCCCTCCTTTTGCAGTGAACAACTAATCCTCCACAATTTTATTTCTTCTACCCATCGTAAAAATTTGAAAAATCACAGTTTAAGCCATGAAACTCTTTCTTGTCCTCCTTCTCAAAGCTTAGATCATAGTTAGTTCCATTAAACTATATCCACCTTCATTATAGTCTCTCCACCTTATGTCTGTATCCTGATATATTATTATTGTTGTTATTAATTATTCTTCGATATTTTCCCTTGCAGCAAAAAGAACCGGAGCACTGACCTTGATGCTAGCAAAACTGTCTGCTAAGTTTCAAGGAAAGAAATATGAACCACCAAAAGAGCCATCATCTCCAAAATCCTCAAGAGACTATAGACTTATTGCCAAGGTAGTGCTTGTGGCTGGCATCGCTGCAGCATGGCAGTATTATTATTACCAATGACACCGCAAAGTAAGCTATTTTTTTGTTGTAAGATACCATATCTTCAAGAATAGGCTGTAAACTACCGATTTGCCCTGTTTTTCAGCTTGTTTTCGTCTTTTTGTACCTTTGAATTGCATTAGAGCAAATCGAGATCCCACCTATTCTCGTCTTATGTCTAATCATTCACATTTAGCTGCTCTGGTCAATTGGTTTCAAAAAGTCAGTTTCCTTTTATTTTTATTGTAATAGTAAAGTGCACGTGAGATGCACGTAAAACATAATTTATAATATTTTATGATATTAAATTATGTTTTTTTTTTATCTTTATATAGTGTATCCGTATTTTTGAATAATTATTTTTAATTAATCAAACAAAACAAATCCATCAAATAATGAATTAGGTCAAATATATCAATATTTAATACATAATTTTTATATTTAAATAAAAAAGAGTACATGAAAAGATTGGTACATAGATTTTCATTTTCTAAATTAATATTGTTTGTTTGAAATCATTTTTTAGTTTAGGCAAAGATGCAAATATGCGCAATAAATGACAATACTGCCCAAAAAACCTTGTGTGTTGGCCAATTTACATTCATGCCATGGCGCATGACGAACAATAGCACAAATACTCATGTGCAAAACTTATTTGCACAAATACGGTATTGTACCTATTTAATTGGGTAAATACTAGATAAATAAAGTGTGGATTAAAAATGTAGTTTTCTTCTCTCACCTCGCGCCAGTTACGGTAATTTACATAGTTGAAAAACAGAAAATATCTTCTCTCACATGGTAAGCATTGTTGTTGATATTTTTAATTTTATTTTTTTTCTGAAAAAAAAAATCAGAATTGGTGTATCAGATTTTTGGTCAGTCTCCTTCACTGCCAGGTGCAGTGGTATCGAAAGCATGTGTGAGATGAACGGAACCAACTTTCAAATGGACCGAGCTATGGAGAAGCACATGGTGGTGATGACCCCCGAGGCCGAGAAGCTTCGTTTTGAGCTTGCGGATGCGGAGAAGAAGGCCATGACCATGGTCGCGGTTTGGGGTCTTAATCTGCGTTTTTCAGTATATGTTACGTTTATATTCAATACATTTTTCAGGATATGTTGGTTTTTTATTTACATATCACTATCTAAACAGAATTGTGATGTTTGAATTTTGTTTATATTTTTTACTTAATATGATACCTACAATCTATATAGCATTGATATGTAAAACATATTATAAATGATCTNAACTATGTATATACCGCATAAGTAGATATATACGATTTACATCTTCGTAACATATAAGTAGATATGTACAATTTACGTTTTCTTAATATACAATGACAAAACCGACCATATCAACAATTATAATAAAAAGAGGTTAAAGTTTAAAAGACGATCGTCATTATCTTGTGCTAGTCTCAGCTGTGTCCAAGTTCTAGTCTCTCTTGTTTGGAGTTTGTAGTCTTTGAAGTGTTCTGGTTGTTCTCTATTCCCTTGGCATTGTGTGTAAGAAGGGAAATTCAATCCAAACTCGTCCTGCCCTTGGCATTGTGTGTAAGAAGGGAAATTCAATCCAAACTCGTCCTGGGCTTTGTGATGTCAGTTGACATCCAATTTGTACTGGTTCTTTCAAATTTTATATATATACTTTTATCGGTTGAGAAAAAAAAAAAGTTTTATATACTTTTATCGTTTGAGAAAAAAATAAAACAAAGAAGACTGAAGAAGAAAATAAATTTCGTGAAGGCAATTCTTCGACGAGTGAATCTACTGATATCTTTGTATCAAACATAAGAGATTTTTTTGGACGACAATCACTTTTGAATAGGTGGGCCTGCATAAGTTCCCGAGCACATGTAGAGGTCGTCTGGTGTGTTGACCTCTACAAGCCATGAGTAGTCTTCTTCATTCCCATCTATAGAAGATACGTCATTTTTTGCAGCTGCAAAAAATTGACAAATTACATTTAAATGCACAGTAACATAGAAATTCACAGTTTTTTGGAGAGACAAGTTAAGCTGCTTACAGAAGGTAGAGAAGGGATAGTCACTGTAGTATGAACATTTCCTTCCAGCAAGTTCATTATATGGAGGGGAAAGGATGTCAAGTACAGCACAAGGAGTTACTGCAGTAAAGCAGTGTAAATTTCCTCCACTCTTTGGATACAAAACGGTTGTACTGCATGGAGCAGTCAGAACTTTATCTTGAGCCAGTTTAGCCAGTCTTGCTGAATAAATGTAAGAAACNAAAAAAAAAAAAAAAAAAAAAAAAAAAAAATGGAAAGAAACATAATTTCATTTGTCGTGCTTTCAAGAAACAACTCAAGACACTCAAGTAAATAAATCAGGTCCAATCAAATGGACTTCATCAGTTTGTAAAAAAGTGCTGATGTTTAGTTTAAAATTTAAACAAGTTTTCAGTGATTCAGGATCTTTATAACATCTCCAACTCCTAAACTACAACCTATAACGAATATCAAATTGAAAAAATATGTCCACGTGTTACTTTGCTCATATCAAACTACCCAAAACATTGGTGTGTCGTGAGATTCTGCGGTGATACACACTCGGTATTTTATCTTCTCCTTCCATGGTTTGAAAGAGCAGTGACACAGTGTTCAAGTTGATGTGAAATTTCCATTCTTGAATCACTCTCAAAGAAGTTAGTTTTCATAATGTTGATTTCTACCCCTTCAATACCATTGTGTCAAGACTTTAGTCTTCTATCAATTATTCATTTTCGAACAAACAATTACTTGGCCATCTCTCATGCATCAAAATACAAAATTCTTACATCCGTCCTTCAAACTCAATGAAAGGTCCCAAAAATTACCTAGCTATGTGTCAGAAGTCCAGCCATTAATTCAAAGGACAATAATAGAAGTTAGTCATATATATATATATATGTATATATACTCGTATATATATAGGGAGTGGTTCCAACATTGTTAAAATGAGACTATGGATTAATCACAATCATGCATTGATCTAGATCTAATGAATGCAAATTGGTTACATAAATGAATATCTTAATCTTTCTAACCATGTATCATTAAATATGTAAATGTAAAACAGTTTGTGGCAGGGGAGGGTGATACTAATCGTAAATTCTTCTTTAATTTGCCAATTCAAAACATAAGAATCAATGAAATCCTTTGTAAATGCTGAGCTCGTGAAAATTTAGGCATCAACAACATCCCACCCAATTTCCATCAGAAATCATGCAATTTGACAACAAATCTCCACAAGATAGCGAATACCTTGATCAAGTAACGAGTAGGAAAAGGGTACACAACTGAATTTAGAAGCAGACCTGATTTTCGGATGACAGCTGGCTCTACCCAGTCATAAGCTTTGACATGTAAGGAACCATATAAGACTTTGCTCAAAACAGTCATGCCAGGGTGATCATGAAGTGGAATAACAGAGGAAGTAGGGAAACAAAATATGCACATCTGCAACAGATTCATATAATTGCATAAACAATCAGAAATATTCCTCTTCTTTTTTCTTACAACAATGGAAACAAATAGTACTCCTTCCATCCCAAAATGATGGACTACATTGCTACTTAAGCCGTCCCAAAAAGATTCCTCTTGTGCTAAATACTAAATAGAGTGTGTCAATCAATAGACCTTGAGAGCCAACAATGATAGTGTTTACTTTAATTGAGTTGCAATTCATGTAAGCCTATCTTCTAGGGATGGAGGTAGTATTGATGATATTGGCATATCAACAATACTTACGTTTATTATGATGTCCATAAAATAGGTAATATTAGTTCCTAAAAATCTTATACAAATAAAAGTTTAGTAGCCAGATTTTGTAGTATGCCGAGTCAAGGAAATACTTATTGGGACAAGAATTTAGTAGGGCAGAAAGGAACCTGGACAAGCAATGAAGAGAAATACTTTAAAGTTCATTAGTGAATATTTGAAGAATGAAGAACTTCACAACAACTTTTCTGACTGTTGAGTCTAAAGTACAAACAAAAGGTAGAAGATGCTTCTTCTTGTCCAAGCATATTTCAGAAGTTAACGTTGTTAAAATGGACCCGTGAAGAGAGGAATCGACTTCTTATTATATGTATTATCTACAAAGTTTATAGAAAAATGTATAATGTAGAAGAACGGACTTGCTTCAAGCTTAGAACTTGGAACCCAAGTTACACATGAACATTTTAACTTGTTAAGAAAATGATGAGGTTAGACCAACAGTAATGACAAACTACATGTACAATATGTTTAACAATCTTACATGTTATAAATTAAAGAATGGTTGAAATACAGATACATACTGTGAAACTTTCCCCCTCGTGTAAGTCCATATAAGTTATTGGTTGAGCCCATCTATCTACTCTGTTGAATGAAAAAATCCCAAAAGGACCATGACCTCTGTTATCTGCTTTGCTGGCAACACTAAGCCCAACATCGGCAGGTCCAATTGAATCTGCAAAATATGTATGAGTTATATATTATATGATGAATACCTTCTCCCAAGCAGTGGTTACAGAGTCAACTTTAGAAAGCGAAACTGGCAATAACTTGATCGTTAATCACGAATAACAATCAAATGCTCTAAGCAAAGCGATAAAAGAGAATTGCTCAAGTCCTAATAAATGAGGCCATGAGTTCAGAGCTACTAGATACCAAATTGCAAACACCACAACTAGCTATCTATGAACATGCCAAGTTGTACATCAAGTTGCAAACAGATGCATATTTGAAAACAGGGAGCACAGAGAATAATAACCAAACTAGTTTAAGCCCATTTAGTAGAAGAGCAGTAAAATGTCATTCTATCAAAGCCATGTGATGTGTATGTTACTAATTGCGCTCCGTAATTGCTAAGTCACTAGATTATCATCCCAATTTACCATTGTAACTTCTCCCTTCGCTCGTTCTTGCATACAGCCTAGAAGATGACAAATGTTAATGTATGCAAACACATCAAACAGGAGATATCAAAAGGGAAAATGATTTCAGATTATTATATAAGAAAAAAAAAAAGGTAAAGTTCCTCAATAAGCTCCAAGTCATATACTGAATTTTGGAAGCAGAAAAAGAGAAGGAACGGAAAAGCACCCAGTAAAGAGGAGAGCTTTTGAATGGCATTAGAAGTGGGAGAGGTAGCGGAAGGGGCAAAAGTAGCTCTGCAGAGGTCGTAGACAGCTTGAATAGATGATGAACTATTCTTCTTCGTTGTCATGGTTATGAGCCTTCGGTGCACACACATTCCAACAAGAAGGTAGAGACGATTGACTGTAAGGATGGGGTAGATTCAGAAGTGGCATTACAAGATCCATTTATACCCAAGTGAAACATTTTAAATAGGAAATAACTATTTTTACCCCACCATGAAAATTTATACTTATATAAAGAGTCATTCCATTTATTAAAACTAGTACGTATCCCGTGCAATGCACGAGACAGAGATCCGTGCAATGCACGAGACAGAGATATTAAATGAGTTATTTTCACCCCCTTGTTTGTTTAAGTCTAAAAACTAATATGGTTATTATCTATTTTCTACCTGTCTTAATCAACGTTATGTCTAAAAAACAATAGGGTTATTATAAGTCTTTTTTCCACATCTTTTAACCTGCGTTGTTTTTTTAGCCAGAATATTAGATATGAGCATGTTAGGGCTGGCTTGTAAAATAATTAATATATTATCTCACTAAAACATTTATACTAATAAAAATTTAATTTTAATATATAAATTTATCCCTTGATATAAGAGAAAGTAGCAGTTTTACATATTGTTGTTCACTATATAATATTTAATTATTATTTTATTATATAATAAAAAGAATACTATTAAATAGTGTAGTAGAACTGTCATAAAATATATGAATTATTTTTTTTTACAATATGGATTTAATATCTTTTTATGATTTGATAATATAACTATAATATATTCTTAATGATATAATAATATGAGATACGGATTTACATAATACTATGGATTTATTCTTTAATGTTAAGATATTGAATTAGGTAATATATGATTCACTAATTTGTAATCTGTCTCTTTATATATTGAAAATAATCATGTGATTGAGTAGATATAACAATTATAACAATTATCTATAAATTCCTTCATTTAAGGAATAGTTTTTAAATTGGTCCAAGTGTTGAATGCAACCTGATTTTCTTGTAACTAAAATGAGAAGAGATTTTGAATTTCAAATTTTCAATTCAAAACCACACGTAAATTTGGATGCATATTTTATTAAAAATAAAATGAGAAGAGATTTTGAATTTCATATTCACTTCAATATCTGTCGAAATTTTCAAAAATAAATTCAACAAAACCCATAATTTTAGGAGCATTCAATGGTACCCTATTTTATGATTTAAAATATCTAAAACTTTATAAATATAGTGTGCAATTAATTATGAGTTGACTTTTCTTCCAACTAATTTTAGTAAATGGGATAGCTTTTTATACAAGTATAGATGTATTTAAATAATTAAAAAAATATTAGGTCCCATGATTTGATTTTTTTCTTTTCACAATTGATACCCAACTAGTACGTACCCGTGCGATGCACGGAATAGAAATATTAAATGAGTTATTTTCACAGCCTTGTCTATTTAAGTCTTGTTTTTTTAGCCAGAATATTAAATATGAGCATGTTAGAGCTAGCTTGTAAAATAATTAATATATTATCTCACTAATTTTAGGGGCATTCAATGGTACCCTATTTTATGATTTAAAATATCTAAAACTTTATAAACATAGTGTGCAATTAATTATGAGTTGACTTTTCTTCCTACTAATTCTAGTAAATGAGATAGCTTTTTATATAAGTATAGATGTATTTAAATAATTAAAAAAATATTAGGTCCCATGATTTGATTTTTTTCTTTTCACAATTGATACCCAACTAATACGTACCCGTGCGATGCACGGAATAGAAATATTAAATGAGTTATTTTCACAGCCTTGTCCATTTAAGTCTTGTTTTTTTAGCCAGAATATTAAATATGAGCATGTTAGAGCTAGCTTGTAAAATAATTAATATATTATCTCACTAAAACATTTATATAAATAAAAAATTAATTTTAGCATATAACTTTATCCTTTGATATAAGAGAAAGTAACAGATTTACTTATTGTTTTCCACCATATAATATTTAATTATTATTTTATTATATAATAAAAAGGAATACTGTTAAATAGTGTAGTAGAATTATTATAAAATTATATGAATTATTTTTTTTACAATATGGATTTAATATCTTTTTATGATTTGATATTATAAATAAATTTATACTCACCTTTGACTTTTCCAGCAAAGTTAAAAAAGTCAGTTCTGATTTTTATTCCATAACAAATCTTTAATGTCAACCCTTTAAATACCAAAATAAATCTGTAATTAATGTCATTCTATTTCCAGCAAGCATTAATTACCTTTGACTTTTCGTCATACTAGGATGACTTTTTATATAAGTATAGATTAGTAGGAAGAAAAGTCAAATGTACATTCTATTTCCATCAATTAATTTTTATTTAATTTTTTTTTCCCATAAAATCGGTACAAAAAAAATGTACTTAAAACAAAAAAAAAGGCAGATTTGATCGAAAGATAAAATCTTGATTTTACCAAAAATAAATCAGATCTCAAGCCTAAATTGAAGGGTTTTATTGTCTAAATAGATATTGATTTACGTAAATCAATACATCTAATATTTATAGTTTGTGTAGATTTAAAATTCCTTCTTATCTTTGTACATAAAATCTTATCTAATTGTATGAAAAATCTGATATGATTTGTTCCTCTACATATAATGTGATTTCCGTATATCAAGATTTTTTTTTAAAAATCTTAACAGATTTTTTCCTACGTATACATTTTTTTTTATTCATGTATATAATTATAAACCTGGGTAAATAGACTTAAAATTGTGCATCCCGTGCATCGCACGGGCTCTGCACTAGTAGTTAAATAAAAAGTTAAATTTTTTCACCCCACAAATTGCGAAATAAATTATACAATAAGTTATGCGACAGACATACGATAATTGATAAAATATAAGATAATTATGCGATAAACTATGCGACATACAGACGAAAATAATTGATAAACTCCGAAAAAATTATTTGATAAACTATGCGACAAACAGACGAACATAATTGATAAGGTGCGAAGTAATTATGTGACAAACTATGTGACACAATGAAGATAATTGAGAAAGTGTGAAATAGTTTTACGATAAACTACGCAACAAGGAAGCGAACATAATTGATAAAGTGCGATACATTATGCGAAAAGCAGACAAACAGGCGAAGATAATTGAAAAAGTGTGAACTATTTATGCGATAAACTATGCGAGAAACAGGCGAACATAATTTATAAAGTGTTAAACAATTATGCGATGAAATATGCTACAGACAGACGAAGATAAATAATGTGAAAAACTATGCGACAAACAGGCGAAGATAATTGATAAAGTGTGAAAACATTAAGCGAAAGTATATGCGATAGATCGACGAAGATAATTAATAGAGGGAGTAATATTTATGCGAAAAGATATGCGACAGACAGGCCAAGATAATTGATAAAGTGAAAATTCAAAAAGATATGCGACAGACATTTAAAGATAATCAATAAAGTGCGAAATATTTATGTGAAAAGATATGCGATAGACAAGCGAAGATAATTGATAATGTGCAAAATAGTTTTACGAAAAGATACACGACAGAGAAACAAAGATAATTGATAAAATTTAAAATATTTATTTGAAAAAGATGCGACATATAGGTGAAGATAATTGATGTAATAGCTATACAATAGATAGACGAAGATAATTGATAAAGTACGAAATAGTTATGCGATAACCTATGTGACAAACAGACGAACATAATTGATAAAGTGCGAAACAATTGTGCGATAAACTATGCGACATACAGGCGAAGATAATTGATAAAGTGCGAAATAGTTATGCAATAAACTATGCCAAAAACAGGCGAACATAAATGATAAAGTGCGAAACACCCATGCATAAACTATGCGACAGAGAGGTGAAGATAATTGATGCGAAAAGCTATGCGACAGACAAGCAAAAATAATTGATAAAGTACAAAAGTCATGCGATAACCAATGCGACAAATAGGCAAACATAATTGATAAAGTGCAGAAAAATTATGCGATAAACTATGTGTTTGTTGTGTTTTTGTGCTTATTTTTATATGTTTCATGTACTTAGTTGAGTTGGTTCTAGGTCGTTTTCTTGTTCAACCGGTCCATTTTAGTTGTTTCGAGTGTTTTTATTTGTTTTTGGTGTTTTTGTACTTTTGCCGTACTTTCCCATGTCTTTTGGTGCTTTATAGGTCCGTTTGCTCGAGTTTAAAAAAGGAGGAATCGAGCCGAGTCCCGAGCACACGAGTTGAGAAACCGAGCACGTCATCCCCGCCCATTTTCGAGCATTCTCCCGACATTCCGCCGGGGAAACCAAATTTCGCCCGAGGCCACATGAGCACTCGCCCGCATTTCGCCGGGTGGACAGACACTTCACCTGGGAAGCTAGCACTCGCCTGGATTTCGCCGGCTGGAAATTAGTCTAGTTGCCTATGAGGTTTTACACTCGCCCGGATTTCGCCTGGCGGAACGTGGGCGAGTGTGTTTACTAAATGTGTGTTTAGTGCATGTTTTTGCTACTTAGTATAAATAGATTTTGTCATTTGTATTTGGAACATCTAGATTTCATTTTTTACTTTTCCACTTTACGAATAGTTCTCTAGTTTCTAGTTTTCTCTCTATTTTTCTTTTGGAGCTCTATGACATCATTTTCCGGCAAGTTTTCTAGCATTTTCGTTTTCGTTCAGGTTCCGAGATTTTGAATCTGAATCTCGTCTAGCACGCAATAGAAGATTGGATATTAAATTGTAAATCTCAATACTCCGGTTTTTGTCTTTCTACTTATGATGCTTATCAAAGTAATTTTGGATATTTGCTTGATGGAAGATGAAAAGTTTAAAGTTTTATTGTTTTTTATTGCTTGCCTAAGTGATTGTAGGGTTTAATTGTTACCTATCTAGATACAATGTTTTTTTTTATATACATATAGATATATCAGTTTTGCTATGAAGCCAACAGTTGGCTTCATAGCAAAATCGATAGATATAGATGTACAATATCAATGTACATATAGATAGATGCCACGTGGATGAGCTGATCTATTTTACATTGTAAAAAGATACAATGTTTTTTTTTATATACATATAGATATATCAGTTTTGCTATGAAGCCAACTGTTGGCTTCATAGCAAAATCGATAGATATA